CAATGAAAACATCAAATCTGGTATCTCAGAAAATTAGAATATTCTAAAGGCCAATGAAAAAATGTTTGTTTCTCTAATGTTGGCCAACTGAAAAGAATGAACATGAAAAGAATGTGCATTTATAGCACTCAATACTTAGTCGGGGCTCCTTTTGCCTCAATAACTGCAGTAATGCGGCGTGGCATGGACTCGATCAGTCTGTGGCACTGCTCAGGTGTTATGAGAGCCCAGGTTGCTCTGATAGTCGTCTTCAGCTCCTCTGCATTGTTGGGTCTAGCGTATTGCATCCTCCGCTTCACAATACCCCATAGATTTTCTATGGGGTTAAGGTCAGGCGAGTTTGCGGGCCAATCAAGGACAGGGATACCATGGTCCTTGAACCAGGTGCTGGTGGTTTTGGCACTGTGTGCAGGTGCCAAGTCCTGTTGAAAGGTGAAGTCTGCATCCCCATAAAGTTGGTCAGCAGCAGGAAGCATGAAGTGCTCTAAAACTTCCTGGTAGACGGCTGCATTGACCCTGGACCTCAGGAAACAGAGTGGGCCAACACCGGCAGATGACATGGCACCCCACACCATCACTGACGGTGGAAACTTTACACTGGACCTCATGCAACGTGGATTCTGTGCTTCTCCTCTCTTCCTCCAGACTCTGGGTCCTTGATTTCCAAAGGAAATGCAGAACTTGCTTTCATCAGAAAACATAACTTTGGACCACTCAGCATCAGTCCAGTCCTTTTTGTCCTTGGCCCAGGCGAGACGCTTCTTGCGCTGTTTCTTGTTCAAGAGTGGCTTGACACACGGAATGCGACACCTGAATCCCATGTCTTTCATGAGTCTCCTCGTGGTGGTTCTTGAAGCGCTGACTCCAGCTGCAGTCCACTCTTTGTGGATCTCCCCCACATTTTTGAATGGGTTTGTCGTCACAATTCTCTGCAGGGTGCGGTTATCCCTAGAGCTTGTACACTTTTGTCTACCACATTTTTTCCGTCCCTTCGCCTGTCTGTTAATGTGCTTGGACACAGAGCTCTGCGAACAGCCAGCTTCTTTAGCAATCACCTTTTGTGTCTTGCCCTCCTTGTGCAAGGTGTCAATGATTGTCTTTTGGACAGCTGTTAAGTCAGAAGTCTTGCCCATGATTGTGGTGCCTTCAAAACAAGACTGAGGGACCTTTTAAAGGGCTTTGCAGGTGTTTTGAGTAAATCAGCTGATTAGAGTGGCAGCAGGTGTCTTCTATATTCAGCCTTTTCAGAATATTCTAATTTTTTGAGATACCAAATTTGGAGTTTTCATTAGTTGTCACTTATGAATATCAAATTTAAATGTAATGAACATTGGAAATACATTGGTCTGTGTGCATTGCATGAATATAATGTACAAGTTTCACGTTTTGAATGGAATTACTGAAATATTTTCAACCTTTTGATGATATTCTAATTTACTGGCCAGCACCTGTAAATTGTGACTAAAATTAAAGACTTTCAGTCTTTCTTTAGTTAATTCCATCAGAAAATGTTTGCTTGTATTTTCATCATAATTCTGCTGGTTTAACAATGAAATGTTAAAGTTAAGGCAGTGCGAACACTCTAAAAATAGAAATCACTGCAATTTTACTTTTTTAAAGATTCCTTTTGACCGTCCTCATTCTCACTTCTTTTTTCTCCAAACTGAGGAATTCAAACACATAATATATTGGCTGATTGTGGTGTTACCAGCAGGACCCCTTTTAAAAAGAAAATTTCAGGTTTTAGTGCAGTGAAAATTTGACATAATTACACCATAACTGCCTGCTTTTAGATTTTGAACAATTTAGTATATATTATGTTCAACAGAAGTTTGGAATTATGTAAGTAGATCTAGAAGTTGGTGATTTCTTCTAATGGTATCTCAAGAAAAATGGAAGCGGTAACTTTGCACATCTTAGAAAGCATTTTCCTAACAGCAGTGGACCTGTGCCATTTGGACCGATCTGCCTCTGGAAGCAGATTTGTGGTCAACACAATGTGCAACGGCAGCCATTACATGATAGTTTATATCCAAGTGCTTACAGTCATTAATCTGCTTCAGATGTCTTTCTGAGAAATGTTCTGGTGAGAAACGATCCTGGCTGGTGCTGCTTCATCTGTCAGGATGTGCAGGAAACGCCAGATGAACCTGGACCAGGGTTTGTTTTTTTACATTCTAAGCTTTTATTCGATCACCCTTACTCTGCTGTCCAGTCACGAATGTGTTGCTTTTGTGGGCCGTAATTATAGCGTCTATGAAAAGTCTTAGAGAAGCATTTTTATTATCACGTTTAAATAAAGAAATGTGAGATTCATTAGTTCCTGAACACCTTGGCAGGACCCTGCCCCCTGACTGAAATGGGGCTGCGGCTGGATTTAATTGGATTACATTTCAATTCAACACACATACCTGTTCAGGCTCTCTGACCTGAGAGCTCTGAATCAGAACTGATGGTCAAATTGTCGTATGTTTTGCTGGGTTTATAATGACTAGTTATTATTTTTTCATACTTATTCTGATCAAAAATTCATTCAAATCGAACTGAAATGCTGCTGTCAGGATATTCACGAATCCCACCACGTTGGCATTTACTCATAGTTGTACTGGGACATTGTGTAGGCTATGCACAATGTTATTTGTACTGTATTTGAATGAATGAAATGCAGTAGGAACATTATTGTTAAGGGAATATCAAATCGCTCAGATTGTAACGGCATGTTTTTGGGGGAAGCTACAATAAATCAAGATGGCTTCCTCAGCCTGGTGCCTTTGGGAAATACACAAATACCTAAAACTCAGTACGCGTTACAGATATAGAGCTACATTTCCAACACAAACTCCAGGTCTGTGGTCAGTTTGGCATTTTCCAGATTTTTTACATAATAGAAGTTCGATACTAAACCCAACCGTTCATGTAAGTTAGGAAAAGTACTAAAACAGGGTTAACTTTACTTTAGCTAAAGGCTTCTTTATATTTATTATAGTATGCCGTATTTCTACAAATATCTAGGCCATTATTTGAGCAATTAGATTTTCTGCTGGAGATGTTTAGTTTTGTGTGTGTTTAAAGAGCAAGTCACCCCCAAATCAACTTTATTTTCTGATAAACCATATAAATGCGTGTCTAATCGTGCTGCAGACACGTGCCGTCAATAGCTTAGCACTTTAGTGCATTTTAGTTAAAATTTTCATTTTCTGCCTAAAACTCAGTGTTGTGCTGGTGTCAGGTAAAACCTCTGCACTGCATTTGAACTGAAATCTGCCATTGCTATTGGCTAAGAGGTACCCTAGAACGTTAGCTGGTACCATATGATGTCACAATGTCGTTGTGAGCCTGTGTGTGTGTGTGTGTGTGTGTGTGTGTGTGTGTGTGTGTGTGTGTGTGTGTGTGTTAGAGGTTCCACCCTCTCGGTCGGCTAGGCAACAGCATTAGTTGCATTTGTTCAACAAATATTAGCGGAGCCGCTAACTAATACACAAATACACACACACACACACAGGCTCAAAACGACATTGTGATGTCATTCAAATTCAATTCAATTCAAAAGTACTTTATTAATCCCAGAGGGATATCGTACCAGCTAACATTCTAGGGTACCTCTTAGCCAATAGCGATGGCAGATTTAAATTCAACTGCAGCACAGAGTTTTTACCTGATAATGGCACAACAGTTTTACAGTTTTAGGAAGAAAATTAAAATTTTAACTAAAATGCCCTAAAGTGCAAAACTAGTGACTACACGTGTCTGCAGCACGATTAGACACTCATTTATATCGTTTATCAGAAACAAAATGTTGATTTGGGGGTGACTTGCTCTTTAAGGTGTACTTGCATGTGTGCTTGCTCTGTCTTGTCAAACCCCCAGTGAAGTGCTGTTCCAACCTTAAGCACGCATCATGGCAAGTTTTCTCAGAGATCCTGGATGTGTTCTTGTATAGAGGATGCATCCTTCTGCTGAAGGTATCCCATAATGCACTATTATAAACCGTTATTCTCCGAACAGCAGATGAGGAAGCTCATAACTGTAGTGTTTTATATCAGAAATACCAACAAATAAATATAAACTTGGCTGTTATTGTAAATATTTGTGTGTAAACTGTAAACATTACTGTTTGCATTTGTTTATTTCTTTTTTTCTTTCAGGCTCATCACGAACCCTCAAAATGCCAGTTAGCAAACCCTTTCAAAATAAAAGCTGCATTGCTTTGTTTTGACGGAAAATAAACTTTATTCTTCATTTAACAGTGGGAAAAGCTGGTATTTCATCAATTTTATCAAAAGCAGACCAAATATTGTTCAAATAATATGTTTTCATGGTTGTTTTGTTGTTTCAGGGATAAATTAAGACTTCTATTTTTGTGTCAGATTGTTTTTTTTAGAACCGTAGAAACATACATTGTTGCCATAATGCAACAATGTATGTTTCTGTATATGCTGTCCTGGTCTTCCTGTACTCAGTAGTACAGAAACACACTTGTCTAGTACACGAGAACGTACTAGCATCCCTGGGTATTGAGAAATGGACCGTATCTACCAAGGATAGTAATGGTCACACTGAGACTAACAAATGAACTTTTTCATTTTCTACATTTCTTCTATTTCTTTAATCTCATGTTCTCCACAATGTCATGAAGCAAGTTATAAGACAGCAGATGTATAACTTTTACCAACAATTACTCGCTCAGTTCTGCTCTGTAAGATTTGCTGCTTGGTTCCTAAGTTGTTTCTGACCTCTGAACGTTTTTAGGGGACCAATTTGGATCATTGAATGTCTTCAATCTAAGGGTTAAATGTTTTTATCTCATGATAGACACATCCCTAAAACGTTCATTTATATATATATATATATATATATATATCCATTTTTTTTTTTTTTGTTCAGTTAAACATCTGTGCTTAATTTTTGCTCGTCTACACAGTATTGTAATGTAATTGTCTAGAGAACAGACCGTGTTTTACCTTGTTTTCATTTCTTTTCATTCCCTTCTTGTTTGGCAGCATATCACCCCCGACAGTTACATTCCCTGCCTGATGGATCTCTGCAAGGCTTTGTGGGAGGTGATGCTGAGCTACTACCGCACTATGCAATGGCATGAGGAGCATGACAAACAGGATGCTTCTCCTACTCCAGGTAGGGATCTTTAAATGTTTTACTTCATCAATTATCTGAGTGCAACAAAAAAAAAAAGCTACCAGCTTCAGAGTTTGAGACCAAACAACAAGCTGTTTGCAAATATATAAAACCAGTAATCCCCTCTCATACGTTTCTGACTCTATAGCAGGAGTAAATGACTTTTCTTATACAAATGGTTGGAATCTCAACCCAATCTTCATCCTCTGAAATTGTCATCTTCACCTGCACAAACACAAAACACTTCTGAAAACGCTGTTCCCTGTCTATGATTTGCACACATAGGAGGTCATTAGTATTATGGCTAACAGAAAGGAACGGTTCAGTGAGGATGTATAAAAAAAATGAAAGAATAGCTTTTATGAGCACTAATGTTTTACATTTCTGCACAATATAATGGTACATGCGCTAAAGTGTGATATATTCTGCACCATAAACTCTTTATTTGACTGTGTGCAGAAATTTACAAACCAAGCAAGCCTATACTGTAGATGTGTTTGGCCACAACCCATAGACAGGTCTCAGTCGTGAGGTGTAATCTACAATTGTCTTTCAAACTGTCTCTGCATGCTATTGGACAGCAAACAGCATGAGATACCCACAGCTACGGATGCCAGACAACAGGGCAGTTGACCATACACTTTTGAAGAAGACACGAATACGTCCTTTCTCTAAATAAAGGACGTAAAGTCTCTTTTGGGAGTATTTCTCTTATCTGATGGAACCATCTAGTGGCTGACAAGCTTATCACACACATAGTCTCATCCATGTTTTTAAGATGGCGACTTCACATTTCTAGTTTCTTAATGTCCTTCTGTAGCAGACAAACAGAGCTAAAACATGTTGTTTTATGAGTATTATTCTCATGTCATTTTGTGTTTTCATATATTTATATTTTAGAGACTTTCTTGTCCATGAAAAGTTTATTAACTATGCATCAGCTGAGGTATTCTTTAAATTTGAAGCATCTGAGCGGTAGTCTAACGCTGTTGGCTAGTTCTGGTCGGCGCTCAGTTTCCTATTGCATGGATCTCTGCGGGTCAGGGGGCGTGTGTAGCAAATAAAAAAGAAAAGACGTATCGCTTACATTATATCACAGTTCATGATAAGATAATCACTTTTACGGATTTCTGAAAAATCATACATAATTTCTGAAAGGAGAAAACTCCGGAAAGCTACTTTAAGTACCTCTGTCCGCTCTTGACTCAAAGAAAAACTCATTCTTTAGCATCTCTTTACGCGGTCACCTTCCCCAAACCCAAATGTCTCACAATTTCCTTCTGTAAATAGACCTTCAGTCACAGGTGTTTAATTGTTGGGGTTCTTCCTCTAGACATTCATGGATTTGCTCCAAGTCTGCTGCTAGATATTTTCAGTACTTTTTTTGTTTTTGGGGTGTGTGGCAGTGCTGTTGACAAATTTAAAATAAGTGGCATGCTGGCCAATCACGGGTTGGCGGTCTCCTTAGCTTTTGATGGACAGTTAGAAAATTGGGCATGTTCCTGTCACCCTCTGGGGGCCTGCTGCAGAGCCCTTGCCTCAGTGCTCCATGTTGTGTTTTGAATAAGTATAAAACAGCCTTAAGAGCTTAATTCCAAGATGTGAACATATCAGCCTTTAGAATTGTTAAAGGAGAAAGTAAATTTCTTTATCTTTGACATAAATCATTAGGGGGTTGGGTACTTCAAAGGATGTCTTGAATGCTTGGTGTGGTCGTTTATTTCTCAGAGAGCTTCATTAGATCATCCTTGGAGGGTCAAAGACGTACAGCGTATTAACTTTGGTCTGCCACAGCAATCAGATGGTTGTCACATCACTTCTGAGTGTTGAGGGCACCTAGATCTAGACATTCATTGGCTTATGTTTGTGGAACCAGGTGTGGTTTCCTTTAGAGTGTACAATATGTGTCCATTGATAATTAGAGAACTGTTGGGAACTGCAAAAAAACAAAAAACAAAAAAAAAACAACAGTTGTGATGGGATTGATCATCCTTCCCACGTTTAAAAGAAAGATCTGAATATTACAGTTTATCCTGTTTGCAACATCTTAACATAACATCGTTTTTGTTTTTGACTTTTCTCTGGTAAATTATTAATAGTTGTATCTGTTTAATTTGTCCTCATGGAAAACCCAGTAAGTCATGGCTCCTGTTTTCTTTTTAAACTTTTAAAATCTGTTATTTACATTTGAAACACTGGTAATTTTCTATGTTTATAATTTTATATATAGTCCAACCGCGACCCATAGACAGATCTCAGTCGTGGAGTGGAAACAATGATGGCCATTCAAACTGTCTCTGCATGCTCTTGGACAACAAACAAAGAGAGGACTCCACACTACGAATGTCAGTCAATGGGACAGTCTGCCTTACACTGTCAAAGAAGACAACAAATACAGCACTTTTCTAAACTAAGGACTTAAGTACAGCTATCTGCTTTTGACTAAAACAAATGCCCAAGTCTAAATAGTCCAAACTTGATCATTTGATATCATTTAAACATATCTCATAGTACTCTGAGCATCAATCCAAAACTGGCCAATATATCGATAGGTCTATATGATTTGGGAATGATGTGCACATTGTTCTCCACGTTTTCTCTATCATCTAGCAGATTTTGCATCAATGTGTGTTTTCTGTCGTGTAGGCAGGTGTTTCACTCCTCATCCCACCTACCAAACCTTTGCTGGCATAACACCATACTGCTCAGGCCAATGGTAGGCCTGCTGAGGCTCTAATGGAACACTGGCTAGACCGACATGTAGAGCAAAATCATGGGGCAAGACACGTAACCCACCTCGGCTGCTGGTGGTCGGAGGAACCGTTGGCTTCCAGTTTAAGAAGCTAACTAGCTAACACCAATAGTAACATGGCTGCTGCAGTACTCTTCTTCTTCCCTGTGTTTTTGGTGACTGAGAAAATACTACAGGTGCATTACTTCCACCTAGCGCTCTGGAGTGTGGATCAGAACCACTGCACGCTTGCAGTCCAGTAGAACAGAGATGTAAAGTTGTGTGTGCTATTCTAATATTTTGATTGGGCTTGGAGCCTTTGTGTTCTGGCCCTACGGCTTTCTGTTTAGAGTGAGTTGTGCATACACACTTTGAGTTCAGAATTGCCCATGTTTAAAATGGAAGCTCATGGTCCAGCCTGGCCTGGCCCCATCTCTGTTTTTTTAAGAGGATTTACCCTACTGAGCTGGTCAGTATTCTGGCAAAAACGTAACTACATTCAATTCAATTCGATTCAAAAATACTTTATTAATCCCAGAGGGAAATTCAATTGTTTCAGTGCACACAATTCTGAGATCAGACATACATACAATAGACGCATGACAAGAATTGGTGACTGTGGTCATTCGCAACACGAGTCGAGCTACCGTTATAGATCAAGAGGGTTTATATGAGGATAGAGTCAGGGGGAGGGGAAAAAAGGCACTTCAGAGTTACTCTCAACAGAGAGAGTAGCTTTGCTATGCAAAAAAAAAAAAACTCCTCAGACAGATATGCACACAGACTTCAGACGATACACAACATAAGTTGCTGCATGGTGGCACAGTGGTTAGCACTGTTGCCTCGCAGCACGGAAGTCGCAGGTTCGAAACTCGGCTGCGGCCTTTCTGCGTGGAGTTGCGTGTTCTCCCCATGCATGCATGGGTTTCCTCCGGGTACTCCGGTTTCCCCCACAGTTCACAACATGCCCTATAGGTTAGAAATTGTCAGTTGCTTTGAATAAAAGCGTCTGCTAAGTAAATAAACATAAACATAAGTGTCCACTAGGTGGGGAGGTAGGGTTGGGACTCTCCTCACTTCAGTGCGTGCAGCTGCAAGAGCAGCGCTCATCACCTCCGTTTGGACAGGGGAGGGAGATAATGGGTTAGAGGGCACATTGACTCCTAGATACGGTTCCATGGCCTTCACCAGTCACAGTCCTGCCCAGGCTTTGATAGGGAGAAAGGGTTTCCATAGCAACGACAGCATTCCACATTTTTTCTGAGGGGGAATTTTCACTTCAGCCTCACAGGCTTCAAGGGCACCAGATTCAGATAAGGATTGCTTTGGGACAGACAGAGATAATTTCTTCTCTGCCTTAGAGTTCTGTTGGTCTTCAGCCCCTCCAGGTCCAATAATGGCGTAATCAATCTATTCCAATCCGTGCTGATCCGTCAACTCTCTCCTTGATCGAATCCACCTTCTGTACCAGAGCCTGAATCTCAGCCAAAGTTCCAAGCTTACGACTCATCTCGACAAATTTGAGTTTGTGAGTTCACAGCGCGATGCATTCCATCCCTGAGCTCCGGGATTAAGCCAATATTCCTCGAAAGCTCGTTAATTTTCCGGTATGCCAGGTAGCCGCTCAGGCCCAACAGCAGGAATCCAGACACCAAAACGACAGTTGAGAGAGGCAGATCAGATTCCACAGTTTCCAGAAGTCCATGATATACCCAGCTGGCTCTGTCCCAGAGGGGCATCCGGGAGCCCCAACTCCCATTGTCATTGTTGAAAATTTTTTGTCAATCACGTTGAGAGACCAACTGACCAGATCCATGTTTAATAATTTCCAGTTTCCATAAAAAATGCAGAAAGCGCACAGCACAGGCGGACAGGACAGAGAGCCTTGGGAGGAGGAGGGAGGGAGAGGAGAAAAAAGCATCTGTACTCTCCAAGAGCCAGAAGACAGATGTTTATAACAGAATCTTTTTGGTGATAGAATCTGTTTTTATACTGTATTCCTCTAAACAAACTGTTATGTTCCTTTGATTAAGCTAGCATAGCACGCAACAGCTCCATCTGGTGAGGCCCAGCCTCACCTGCCCCTAATGCAGAGATTTTACTGATATCTAAAAGCCATTCACCGTTTTACCTTTTTTTTTTTTTTGCTTCACAGTATTTTGTTAGTACTATAGCCCCACTAAATGTTATTGTTTACATCTGCAATTATTTGATTAACATGCCTGGACTGTACACAGCTGAAGCAATGGAGATGCAACCCGATCTCTTT